AACTTTCTTTATGAAACTATGTATTTTTGGAAAAGACCATATTAAGAGCAAACATTTCCGAGCCTCCTAGAGTTGGGTCTGTGCTCATTGTGCAAGGAAGCTCAGCATACAGCTGTCACTCCTTTAGACAGAGCTCCTTCTTTCTTCCTTCATTTCTTCTTCAGGCGTTTCTCCTTCATCCTGTTGCCAGTTTGGTTCTAGGCACGAAGTTGTTCCTGGCTTGATCTATCAGATAATGATCCCAGACTGGATGCAGCCATAAAACAAACAAAAAATCCTCTCTAGCTGGTGGCTGGTCCAAACCGACGAGAACGCCAAGCCTTTGCTGTTCTTCCACAATGGCACTCTCTATTATTTTTAAAAACAAACACTGAAAATTAAAAAGCAGATTAATACAGAGACTGGTTTTCATTGCAGTCTCTTGTATTTCAAATTAATGGGGTTTTGTAGGAATTTGGAGGCTGCATTCCTTGGCATGGGAGTCTAAACTTTGGTTCCCACCTCGAATCTGAGCTCTTTCCTGCATCTCTGCCTTTTCCTTTGTACTTTCCTTTTTCCTTATTTCTTTCCTCCCGTCTTCGTCTTGTTCTAATGCTGTTCTCTGAGCATCCCTTCTTGAAGCTGTTGATACTTCTGTGGAATCCTCTAACTGCTAATCAACCTCTTTGGCATAAAGAGCCACAGAAAAGGATTTGGGTAGATCATTAGAGAAATGTCAAAGCTGGAAAGGCTCAGAGGTCACCTAACTTAAGGTTTTCAAACTGTGTTCCCTACAACTCGAAGGGTCCATGGAGGTTCACAGGAACTTTATGGGGAAAAGAGGCTCAGGTGGTCCTCAGACTGTTCAATCACAGCATCTCTGCTTCATCTATTGTACGTTCAACATACAAAAAAAATTTAAGAGGCTCATTTTTCTTTTTAATTGAAAACCACAGACCTAGCTCAATTCTTACATTTTAAAGGCGAGGGAACTGAGGCCCCAACAGGAAGTAATTACCTCCAGGTGACACACCGCTCCTTGGTGGATGAAGTAGGACTAGCAACCTCAACTGAGATAAACAATTCAGATATTATTATTTTCCCCATTTTCGAAGAAGCAGTATGTTTGTGAACAGTTCTCAGCCAGCTCTGGGTTTGGAATCAGGCTGTTTCCATTCTGACTGTTCTGTCTAGAGGTTGTTATGATGTGGGGAGTCTGTTGGTGCTGGGAGAGGATCGTAAAATGGGGGACGGGTTGTTCGTTTCTCGTGTCAGTCTTGCTAGAATCTCCCGTATCGTATCATATTGGAAACACTAGACCCGAGATATCAGATAGACTCTGCGGTGAATGTAGACCGGACTCGTCTTCCCACTTCCTGTAAGTCATCCAGGACCCCAGGGGGCCACAGCCATTGGCCACAATGTGCCAGCAGGAATGTGGGTACCAGCAATGCAAAGCTCAGAATCACACTTCGAGAGGGATTCCCCCAGAGATTTGTGCTCCACTAAGCCCTCAGGGTCCTGCCCCCCTCAAATGTCTTCTTGGCCAATGGTTCCTAGTCTTTTTGGATATTGTGACTTTTTGAGAAAATTTTGAAAAGGCTTTGGGGGCTGCCATGGAATTGCCAATATCTTTCTTATTTTCTTAACCAGTGTCTACTATCATAAAAGTTATGTGATTACCAGTTATGTCTCAAGGAAAGACACAACTTGAGAAAGGAGAGCTCTTCCCAAGAAAGGACACTTTGGCACTGGATACTAAGGATTCTGCCTGGTGCTACTGTTGTTCGCTTGGAGGTGGATCAAAAATGAGCGCACCCTGGCCCTCCAGGGGCCAGAAGTTTCTGTAGCTTCTTCAGTGTCAGCCGGAGGGCACCAGTGGTCCATCAGAAATAGTGACCCTTTAGCTGGCCACTGACAAGAGGGCATTTCCGTCTTACTCTGAGAATAAACGAACACTGGGGATGTCCTCATTCACACTTGCTTCCCAATGACATTTTCCACTGTCCTGGATGAGACAGGGACAGGCCCTGACCAAGTGATGTGACTTACTACATTAAAAAGAAGTACATTTTCCATTAATTGAAGACAACTGAGCTCCACAGTCTGGACATTCCCCAAGCAGAAGGAACCTCAGCAAGGACAGTAGTGACACCAGGAATGGGTGGGAGCCGGCCACTGGTGGGCAGACAGCTACTAACCCTACCTGGCATGGTTGAAAATGGGATACGTTTTTAAATCTAATCCTCTCATGTGAAATGTTTAGATAACACGTTTAAAGAAATTAGAATAGAATAAACAACTTGGAGTGCGTTTCCTTTGGCACAATAGAAATAAGTAAATCATTCCTAGCACTAAAGCTAAAAAATGTCCATCAAGGGAGCAGCAATGGGGCATCTGAAAAGGAATGGGTCTGGATTTGGAAAATTGGGGCTCGCAGGGCAGGTCTGCAACTTCTGGACGGTGGACAGCTGCTTAGAGGCATGTCGTTTAGTGGGAGAGTGTGGGGTTCTGAAGGCACATCAACGCACGCTGGAATACCAGCTCTGTCCCCAAAACCATTTAACCCTCCAGAGACAGACTGTCTCCTTATTTTTCCCATGGATGGTGGGACTACATGATCATGGTGGGCCTCCTCAAGGATCACCCAACAGAATTTGTAGGTAAGACAGGAATGCGGAAAGCTCCCATTCATCCACTAAACAGGAAGGGTTCAGATCAGTGGTGGCCTTTGCCGTGGCCAAGACTGCCAGTGGGGTTCGCATCTGTTTCTCCCTCTCCATCCGTTGGTGCACACGAGCAGGGCCCCCCACACGCTAAGGCACACAGCCCACCCAACCCGTACAGCCTTTCGTCAATGAGCCATGAATAAACCATACACAGAGAGAAGCTTCTTTTTTTTTCTTCAATTTAATTGAAGTTACTTAGAAAAATAATCAGGCTTGAATGGCTTTTCCTGGAGGAAGGTTCATGAACATCTCACGCTTTTGCTGGCAATGTGGAATTCAGCTTTCTCGAACAGTACAGTAGGAGACGGAGAGTTTTTTAAAACAAGCCCTCTACTGCATACAAATAGGTAAGGGAAAAAAATCACACTCCACAAAGATGTTAAGTTATATGTGCATATACCATACTGAGCATGCTCATAGGAAAACAGTACGGGCAGCCCCTTCTGTACCCGACAGAGTAGCAAATCGAAATTCGCCTGTGAATAGCCAAGGGGCAAGCTGGTTATCGTAGGTCCTGTTGCCTGTTCATAGGGTCCCGTCAGCTGATGAGAAAAGGCTGGAAGAAATAAAGGCTGGTTTTTGGAAATTGGGGGAGCCATGAGGTCAGTCCCGCTGACATAGGAGGGGGCTGGGAAGGGATTCTGGTCACCGGGATCGCACAGAAGGGGGCAGCTCATTTTGTGTGTGTTGGTGTGTGTGGGGGGAGGGGCAGTCTGCAAGGGACATGGTCTGACACCACCCACCGGGGACAGAGTCCCTTGGCTTCTTGCCAGGTTCGAACAGGGACTTCTACTTGTTCTACCTGAGTAATCACTACCTCAGCAGTGGGCCAGACCCCACCAGCTAAGTGCACCAGGGACTTGCTTTTTTTTTTTTTTTTTTCTTCCCCTGGGAACTTTCTACCAGCAGGAATTAGCCCCTTGTGCCTCCACACCTTTGCTCTCAGGAGGGTGGAGCTCACCTGGTGGACAGGGAGGAAGGAAGGTCCCCTCTGAGATACCAGAGGTCAACAGACTGCTTTTCTTCCCAGACCAGCTGGGGAGGCGGAGAGGGGGACGGGCAGGGTGGTCCAGAGAAGCTGCAGGAATTCAAGCCCTGTGGCCAATATTCTAGAATTTTCCAACCACAGAGATAGGTTAAGCAGGAATGTCCTTGTAAATATTACCCTAACTGTACCTGGTTTTGAAAACACAGCAGCACCTTTGAAAAGTGGCTTGGAGGTGGGACACCTGCCTGTACTTTTCTCCAGCGAAGCATGCAATGAAAAGCGTTTTCAGTTTTCTTAACAAAAAAAAACAAAAACAAAAACAAAAACACAAGCTTTTGCTTCCCAGGCACATTTTTACCCAGAGATTCTTTTATACCAAGGACACAGAATACTTTCTACATTCTGCAGAACAGTTGATTCAGTTTGTTTTTTTTTAAATTTTTATGCCACTAGAAAACAAAATGTGAACACAAAACAAACACAAGGAGAAAGTCCCTCATTGCAGAACTACACTGATGTCTTGTCCCCTGAAGGACAGTCTTTCTCGCTTGAGAGAAGATGGATGAAAGGCGGTACTCTGCACACGGCCCGAGTGAGCTCACCCAATCCAACAAAGATGGTGGCGGGAACACAGAGTTGGGGAAATCTATGGGAATTTCCATTGGAAAAACAAAAGCACGTGGTGAACACTCCCAAACTCTGGAACTAAAGAAGCACTCCTGAAGGGTTGAGCTCCCTCTGCGTGCTTTGAGCAACCTAAGGCTTGAGGAGTAGGGGGGACTATTCTGTGGCCTTATGTCCCCTCCCCTTCCTCTGTCTACACCACTCAACACCATACCCTGCTCCCTTTGGGAGGGATGGAATCATTGCCCAGGGTAGTATCCAGGATTAAAACCATTGCACTTAAGTAAAAGTTTAATTGATTTGATAAAGTACCTCTGTTGCTATAAACCAGATAGAAATGGATTGATCCTGTTTTATTGTTTTGTTCTGTTTTGTTTTGGAGAAGGGTCAGGGAAGTTGTTTTATCCTTGACGACCTCAGATATGCGAAATCGACCTAACCGAAGTATATTCTGTGGAACATTTCTGTGAGATCTGCAAAATAGAGTATCCTGGTCACATAAGTTCAGGAAATGCTACCAACTCAATGATACTTTTGGGGGTTCATAATGCACAACGTACATCCAAGGCTCTGAAAAGTCCTGTAGAAAGGAAATTGACTTAACTTTGTTTCCCAAAGATATTTGACCTCAAAATGCTTTTTTTTTTTCTCTTTCTCCTTTTCTTTTCTTTCTTTCTTTCTTTCTTTTTTTTTTTTTTGCATCACACTAACTTCACATCTCCTAGAACCTTTTTGTTCTGTGGAGCACATATCAGGAAATGCTGGACAATGTTTCATTAGCAGAAGCCCTATTTTGGAGGACAGTGTCCCCTGCCTGGAAACAGGGCCCAGACTCCCAATTCCAGGGACAGCTGAGGTCTGTCGCTCTATTCAGTAAAACACATGGCATACAGCTCTGTCCATGGAGGGCACAGTCGCTGTGCCCTTCACAAAGGGGAGAGAGCTTGGACGAAGGGACACAACATTTTATAAAAAGCTTTGGCCGCCCCCTCCCCAGTGCACACCTCACTCACATTCAATAAAATCATGTCCTCAGTGAGATTCAGCAGCTGCTGCTGAGCTGGCTGTGAGCTTTCCAATACAATTCTAATAGTTTCTGTGAATAAATTATTCATTTCTGTTTGTTTAGAATATTCTCACCCCTTTGCTATATACTGCATCAAAAACAAAACAAAAAGCAAAACTTACCCACACCCCATCCCACCCCACCCCGTTATTACAACTATAATTATTATTATATACAGGATTTGCTACCAACTCATTCACTAGTTGTAAGAGGGATGTGGCCAAATTTCAACCGAGGCATCGAAATGGCTGGAAAATGAGAAGCATGTGCAGATGGTAATTAGCAAGGAACAGGAAGTAGAATGTTTCCGACCTTCCGCAGGAAAAGGGGCATGGATTACAGTCATGGAAGGCTGTCCTTGCTGCTCATGCATGGTGCTCGCCAAGGTGTGGATGGTCTCGGCCTCCGGAGGACTTGGGAGGGGTATGTGCGTGCGTATGTGTACAGGGGGTCCACCTCTGACCTTCACCAGGGGAGAAATGCCAGACCACTCCAGGTCCCAAATGTACGAGGTCTGCCACAGCTTCTCACTCTTGCACATGGCAAAGAGGAGAGAACACTTCCACGCGGAGGCGTGGGTGCCGGGGCTGACGGGACAGGAAGAGGCATGGGCGGAATGATCCCCTTCCCTCCCCGCCAAGGCAGACATCACTCATCAGTGACAGCCCCCCTTCCATGCTGTGCCTGGTGAATCTGTTCTGGGGCTTAAAGGCGGACACTACCAATCCATTGGAGTGGACACATGATGGGAAACACTTTTGTCTTCTCTTGTGTTGGGTGAAGAGCCTGGATTACTCACCGAGTGGCCTGTTCTAAGTGTGTGGTTTTCAAATTTGGGCCAGAGAAAAACGCAAATCTGTAGGGGTCATGGGCCTTCTGGGGTTGTTCAAAATGGTCCAAACCTCATGTAACGTCCATGAATATGAGGGGTTTGCTAATTGTCGAGCTGGAAACTGTGTCCACATAAAGCTTCTTGAGGGCCGAGACCATTGGTTTTGTTCCATGCTCTATCCGCAGGGCCTACAATTAGGCCCAGCACATAGTAGTTGCTCAATAAATACTTGTTGACTATAAAGTAACAGCCACTTCACTATTACAACTGGCACTGCCAGTTAAGAATTTCTGTAGAAAAGCCTATTTTATCAGACTGCTAATTCTGGTGGAAAAGAAAAAAAAAAAAAAACTACACTGAGCTCTTCTCCTTGGGTTAAAAAAAAGAAAAAATCAAATTTTCTTTTTTTTTCTTAGCGCAACAGACTCTTGGGTTGCTTGGAATCTGTTTGGAATCAGTCCCTTGCAAAGGTGCCTTTTTCTACTTATTTCTCACCGATTTCCAAGAAGGGTGGTATCAACGGACATCACAAGGGTCAACACACAGTTAACTCTGTGAGCGAGGAGAACATTCATGCCCCAGAATGAGCTTGTAGCAAGCACAGAACAAAAACACACACTTCTTCTGCAAAGACATCAGGATCTTGCTGCCACAGAAAGAAATCTACACAGAGACCATGTTTAAATAACGATAAATAATATTAATTAGAATTTCTGGGACGCACAATCCGTGGAATTCACCAGAGCACAAGGAAACCTCTGAGGCAGTGTTGCAGGTATTCACGTCTAAGCACAAGGACACCCATCCTATTCCCCCGCAAAGACAGCCGTCCTTCCCTACTAAGGATTTTAAATAATTCTCAACCATGCTGCTCGCAGCATCATTCCCCAAAGAAATATTACTTTACAAAATAACCCAATATCCATATAATTTCTTTTGACAAATAAAAATCTTAAATTAAAAAGCACGATTCTCTCCCCTCTCCCCACGCCCCCTTTATTCCAGCTTCAGGTAGCTTGGCACTGAGTAATTGAACATTAAAAAATCGAGTTTGTAGACTTCGTACAGCTGCGTCTGGTGCTCCGAGCTGATGTTCTGGAAGAACTCTGTGGTCATCTCGTCAGTAGTTCTCGTAGACTTGGCGTAGGTGGGGAACTTCAGGTAGCTGCCCACGCCCGCCAGCCGCAGGACGTAGTTGGAGTCGTCCTCCAGCGTCTCGTACTTGCCCACGAGGTCGTAGTGGATGTGGCACGGGTGGCAGAGCGAGTGCACCGTCTGCCAGTGCTCGTTGAAGGGCTCCTCGCGCTGCGTGTGCGGGTCGACGAGGTAGGCCACGAACTCCTCGAAGCGCACGTCGTCCCCCCTGCGCAGCGCCTCCTGCGTGGCGTTCTTGCGCTGCCGCCGGATGATCTTGGTGCCGTAGCGCTTGTGGAAGGACGTGTTGTACTTCTGCGTGAACTTGTTGCGGTAGGCCGACACCAGGCGCTCGAAGGGCTCGCGCACGAACAGGAACTTCATGTAGCTTTTCAAGCGGTGGTTGATTTCCGGGATGCTGTACTGGTTCAGGGTCTTGAGGTTGGCCGCCACGTGCGCCTCGCTGGCCGGGATCTCCATGGGGTCGCTGTACTTGCCCCGCCCGGTGAGCACCATCATGAGCCGCTTCCAGTTGGTGCACGCCACCTTGGGCACGTAGCAGTAGATGAGCTCGTGGTCCTCGTCCACCACCAGGTGCTTCAGGTCGCCGGGGGTCAGCACCCGCCGCTTGCGGCTCAGGGCGCTGTTGGCGCGACAGGTGTCCGTGACCTGGTCGCGCCTCATCTGGTGCAGGACGGCGGTGTTCGAGAGCTCCAGCTGCAGAGGGGACACGAGAGGAACACGGATTCAGGGCGGGCGCGGGGGATGGGCCCCTGGGCCGCGTCCGCAACCACGGCGGCCAGCGCGGTGCCCCCCACCCCCACCCCGGGCAGCGCCAGCCCACGACCGAAGTGGCGGGTCCTCCTTCCTAATTCTCCGCCCCAGCTGCCTCGACTCTTTGGGTTCTTTGTTCCACCATGTTCCCGTTGTGGAGTCATAGTAATGATCAAGGCTGTAGCTTACGCACCACCCTCTAACTGCCTGGCATTTTACTAGTGGGCTTCGCGTTGGCTGTTTTTCTTCTCCCTGTACAACCATCTAGAAACGGGGTTGATTTAACAGTATCAAGGACCCGCCCCCGTTGCCAGGAAGCCTGCTGCCAGGCACTGGGGATGCGGCCACAAAAGATACAAGGAGGGAACTGCCCTTATGGAGCTGACCGGCTAGCTGTTAAGAAAGAGGGAACTGAGGCTCAGAGAGGTTAAGTCACCAGCTTGAGATCACACAGTGAGCAACCGACTCCGTATTCAAACTCGGGTCCTCCTGGTAACCAAGGCCGCCCACTTTGCCCTCTACCCTGAGGTCCAGCACTCCCATCTTCTTGATTGAAGGATGGGGACTCTGGCATTTGATCGATCTACTTTAAAGCAAGGGGATCCAATTTCTCTACAAGCCTATCACTGTGAACATCTGTTGCCTTGTGCGTCTTCTGGTGCCAGTGCCTTGATGTTCCCCTGGGAACCCACTTTCTTCCATTCCCAGTTAGTTCCTTTTCCCTCTCAAGCAGCTGTGCTGTGAGAATGGCAGCCTGGAGCTTGGGGACAGGGAGGAAGGCCACCATGCAGGGAGAGCTAGACTGGGAAGGGAGGGTACAAAGAGATGAGAAGACAGAGGCACGTGCTCCCCGTGACGTCACCTCAATACCTGGGTCCACACATTGCTGAGACCAGACCCCTCAACTCCTGGACTTTTGTGACCTCAGTCGGTACATTTGCTTTGGTGCATAAAGCAGTGAGAGTCTGGATTCTATCGTTTCAAACCCAAATATATGGGTATTGGCATTTACTACCCTTTTATTACCCTCAAGCTTTTCTTCTCTGCCATATTCATCCACTGATGCATCCTTTCAAACATCCGTCCAGACCTCACAGCGTACAGCACTCAGCTCAGCACCCCTGGGAGACAGAACATTCTCCTAAAGGGCTTACAGTCAAGGAGGCATCAGACCAGAGAGAGCTGGCGGCCTCAAAAGGGCCCAAAGGGAAGACGTGTGTGTGCTCCTCTAAATTCTAGAAACAAAAGTTTCTCCTCACAGGCCATATCCTGGGAGCCAGTCCTTAGAGTCCACCTGGAGTAGGAAACGGCACAGCTCACCGCCCTGGTGTGCTGACAACCCTACTGTTGTTGCTTCAGGCCGTGCCTCCATCTACCCTCCTGAATGCGCAAAGTGGCTCTTCCTTTAAGTATCAAGGACCTTGATATTAATTATGGTTCAAGCTATAGAGAAACTGGCGCACCACAGCTATGGAATAGCCGGTCTGGAGCTGCAGAGGACATGGTGTCCTGGTTGCCTTCCTGCCCCAAGAACACGGAGCCCGTCCACGCGCTGGTCTTTGACGTCCTCCATGGTCCCGCACCAACCTACCTTTCCAGTCCCGTTCCTACTCCTCCCCTGTTCAGAACTAAAGGGAGCTCCAGAGAAATCAATGATTCACTCTTTTCCCTTTGTTCTTTAATTAAAAAAATTTAAATCCCAATGTAATTAACATACAGCGGTATATTACAATATATATATATACCGTGGTGTATACAATATACCTCGTGCCGCATCTGGTGCAGGATATACAATATATTGATTTGTTTCAGATACACAGTTGTATTCAGTTGTATTCAGTATTGATTGTATTCAGTTGTATTCAGTATTGATTCAGTAATTCTATACATTACTCAGTGCTCATCATAAGCGTACCCTTGATCCCCTTCACCTATTTTACTCCCCACACTCCTCCCCTCTGGTAACCACCAGTTCTCTATATTTAGGAGTGTGTTCACCTCTTTCTTGTTTTGTTTCTTAAATCCCACATATGGGTGAAATCATATGGTATTTGTCTTTCTCTGACTTTTTTTTTTTTTTAAAGATTTTATTTATTTATTTGAGACAGAATGAGAGAGAGAGAAAGAGCACATGAGAGGGGGGAGGGTCAGAGGGAGAAGCAGGCTCCCCGCCGAGCAGGGAGCCCGATGCGGGACTCGATCCAGGGACTCCAGGATCACGACCTGAGCCGAAGGCAGTCGCTTAACCAACTGAGCCACCCAGGCGCCCCTTTCTCTGACTTCTTTCACTTAGCATAATACCCAGTAGATCCAGCCGTGTTGTTGCAAATGGCGATATTTTATCCTTGAAAAATTCCATTGTGCGTGCGTGTGTGTGTATCAAACACATCTTCTTTATCCATTCGTCTATCTTTAGACACTTAGGCTGTTTCCATATCTTGGCTATTGTAAATAATGCTGCAATAAACATAGGGGTGCATGTATCTTTTTGAACTAGTGTTTTCATATTCTTTGGGTAAATACCCAGTAGTGCAATTACCAGATCATATGGTAACTCTGTTTTTAATATTTTGAGTGACTTCCATACTGTTTTCCACAATGGCTGCACCACTTTGCATTCCCACCAACACTGCACGAGGGTTCCTTTTTCTCCACATCCTCGCCAACACTTGTTTCTTGTGCTTTTAGCAATTGACAGGTGTGAGGTGAAATGTCACTGTGGTTTTGATTTGTATTTCCCAGATGGTGAATGATGTTGAGCGTCTTTTCAAATGTCTGTTGGCCATCTGTTTGTCTTCTTTGGAGAAATGTCTGTTTATGTTTCCTGTCCATTTTTAAGTGGATTATTTGGTTTTTGTGGTGGTGTTTTATAGAAATTCTTCATGTATTTTGGATATTAACCCCTTATCGGATATATCATTTGCAAATATCTTCTCCCATTCAGTAGGTTGTCTTTTAGTTTTGTTGTTTCCTTTGCTTACATAGCTTTTTTTTTAAATTTTATTTTATTATGTTATGTTAGTCGCCATCACCAGTTTTCGATGCTGTGATCCACGATTCATTGTTTTCGTATAATACCCAGTGCTCCATGCAGTATGTGTCCTCCTTAATCCCCATCACTGGGCTAACCCATCCCCCCACCCCCTCCCCTCTAGAACCTTCAGTTTTTTTCTGAGTCCGTAGTCTCGCATGGTTCATCTCTTCTTCCGATTTCCGCCCCCTTCATTTTTCCCTTCCTTCTCCTAATATCCTCCATGCTATTCCTTATGTTCCACAAATAACTGAAACCATATGATAATTGACTTTCTCTGCTTGACTTATTTCACTTAGCATAATCTCCTCTAGTCCCATCCATGCTGATGTAAAGTTGGGTATTTATTTCTGATGGCTGAGTAATATTCCATTGTATATATGGACCACATCTTGTTTATCCATTCATCTGTTGAAGAGCATCTCGGCTCTTTCCACAGTTTGGCTATTGTGGACATTACTGCTATGAACATTGGGGTGCATGTGGCCCTTCTTTTCACTACATCTGTGTCAGAGCTTTTTCTTTTTTGCTGTAGTCCCAAAAGTATATTTTTGCTTTGCTTTCCCTTGCCTGAGGAGACATATCTAGAAAAAAAGTTGCTACAGCTGATGTCAGAGAAATTACTGCCTGTGCTCTCTTCTAGGATTGTTATGGTTTCAGGTCTCACATTTAGGTCTTTCATCCATACTGAGTTTATTTTTGTGTATGGTGGGAGAAAGTGGTCCAGTTTCATTCTTTTGCATGTAGCTGTCCAGTTTTCCCAACACCATTTGTTGAAGAGACTGTCCTTCCCATTGCATATTCTGGCCTCCTTTGTCATAGACTAATTGAGCATATAATCATGGGCTCTCTATGTGTCTATTTTTGTGCCAGCTTTGATTATTACAGCTTTGTAGTATATCTTGAAATCTGGGATTCTGAAGCCTCCAGTTTTGTTCTTTTTCAAGATTGCTTTGGCTACTCAGGGTCTTTTGTGGTTCCATACACACTTTAGGATTGTTTGTTCTAGTTCTGTGAAAAAGTCTGTTGGTATTTTGATAGGGATTGTATTATATCTGTAGATTGCTTTGGGTAGTATGGACATTAACAATATCTGTTCTCCTAATCCCCAAGCATGAAATATCTTTCCAGTTGTTTGTCATATTTAATTTCTTTCATCAGTGTTTTATAGTTTTCAGAGTACAGGTCTTTCACTTCTTTGGTTAGGTTTATTCCTAGGTATTTTACTCTTTTTGGTGCAGTAGTAAATAGGACTGGTGTCTTAATTTCTCTTTCTGCCGCTTCATTATTAGCGTATAGAAATGCAACAGATTTCTGTATATTGATTTTATATCCTAAAACTTTACTGAATTTGTCTATCAGTTCCAGTAGTTTTTTGGTGGAGTCTTAAGGGTTTTCTATATATAGTATCATGTCATCTGCAAATAGTGACAGGTTTACTACTTCTTTACTAATGTGGATGCCTTTTATTTCCTTCTCTTGTCTGATTGCTGTGGCTGACACTTCCAGTAGTATGTTGAATCAAAGTGGTGAGAGTGGGCATCCTTGTCTTGTTCCTGATCTTAGGGGAAAAGCTCTGAGTTTTTCACCACTGAGTATGTTAGCTGTGGGTTTGTCATATACGGCCTTTAGTATGTTGAGATATATTCCTTCTAAACCTACTTTATTGGGGTTTTTATCATGAATGGATGTTGTACTTTGTCAAATGCTTTTTCTACATCTATGGAAACGATCATATATGGTTCTTATCCTTTCTATTAAACTGATGTGATGTATTATGTTGATTGATTTGCAAATATTGAATCACCCTTGCATCCTGGGAATAAATCCCATTTGATTGTGGTGAATTATTTTTTTTAATGTATTGTTGGATTTGGTTTGCTAGTATTTTGTTGAGGATTTTTGCATCTAT